CAGTTGCAACTGGAAAACTGCTGTCTTGCAGGCAAAAAAAGAAGTACACCCACGATGTTGACGTCACAAGAGGCGCTCTGTGGCGTAAAGCAAATCATCAAAGTCAGTCATCGTTGGTGTGCGCTTAGTCGGTACATGTTGCAAATTTCCCGCACGATCACTGACTTCCAGTTTTCAAATTGCACATTTTGTATTGTAAACTTTGCGATTCTAAAAATATATAGATTGCGATTAAAACAAATAGTACAGATTGAGGACTGTTGTAAGGCATGTTATAGGCTCTAATACTTGTAATACACACTTACTCAACATTTAAACATATGTCTGTCTCGAAGGCAGATGTCTGGCAGTAGTTGATTTTGTTTGCCTTCAGCATTTACGTCATAGAATCGCTTCATCACTCGAAGATGCGAATTATAGATGCTGTGTATTACGTACCTTCGATGCTGAAAATGGTACCTACCCAGAACATAAACTGATATATCATAACGAAACCATACGCATAACGACGCATGCATAGAATGCTAACGTATTTAGCTGTCAGGGAAGAGATATCGCTCTGTAGCTACAGGTAGTATAATTATTATAAGATAGCACATTCAACATTTATGTTTTTTTATGGAATCACCTTCCCACTTATTTCTCGACTGACTATTGATATGACTACATTCAGATACTAGCACACGTCATACTGTTAGAACTGATGGTTAGGTACGCACCGACTCTATTAATACAATATACTAGTAGTCCGGATGATCTCACGGAAACTGAATCAGGAAACATGCATTTCCGATAACAATGCTAGCCCCTTAAGACAAAGATATTTATGTCAGTTGCACGTAGTATTTACGTCTAAACTATGATTTTATATATGATTTATGTGTCAACTTTACAAATTAAGAAGGTTTGGGCTGATGTTACACCTTTGTCTCAAATCTCCGAGAAATTTGAATACAGGACTTCATTTTTCAATTGTACCTCGAATTCTCATGATCACATGGCACATATTTCCAGTAATATTTACTTAATATTATTATTATTAACAATTAATAGTACAGTCTTTTCGCCATATGCTATCAACAGTTTTTTGTAGTTTGTAAATACATGGACTGTGTTTAATGTATCCTTATTATTTGTATTGTTGATGCATTTGTATTATATTGTTTAAGGATACTCAGCCCTTTTACGACAATTTTAACAATATTCGGACAATTCCAATGATTGTCAAGTCAGGAATATTAATACATTGCCACGTGACACAAACTGTTCTTGATTCTGCAATGACAAATTACCGATAATTTTTTTGATCATCTATTAAGAAACACTGAATTTAGAAAAGCAACACATACACGTGTATTTTATTTTACCACCTAAATATTGGTGCAAATACATCTGCATGTGGTAGGAATGCGAATCACATCAATAATAAGTATCCAATCAATTTGTAGGTCATTTTTCAAATTTATTTTTCTGAATTTTAAGCATATTGTAGACATATTCTGATTCTAATCATATTATATATTTTTCAAAATTCCGACATTATGTTTGTTTTGCCTAAAAACGCATGTTGTGTCACTTGTGGCCGTTTTGCTTCTGATTTGTCCGAATTCCGTTCTATTAAAGTGATAGTTAACTCCCCAGAAATGTTGTAGGTAGACGGACAGGCATTTAATAACGTCGGGATAAATGACAACAATTCAGGATTGTATATTTTAGTTATTATTATATTGTCTTATACATATCACTATTTAGACCTAGCAAGGCCATTACCAAAGTTCTTATGCGCATGCTTGGCACATATATACGCACGTGGATGCTTCGTGGGACTGCTACTAGTGTGCAGAATGTTCTTATGATATAGTGAGAAACTAGCTAATGTCATGAAATCAAAAACGAAAGATGACAAAAACTGATTATCTGAATATTATATTACCGATAATAAAAA